GAAAACATCGATCCAAATTTCTCTTCACTCGTCTTGAAAATTCTATTCTAGCTTTCTTATATAAATATCAATAAATCGAGAATTGCGTAATGCTCACATACTCACGCCACGATCACGCATTAACATCCTTAGCTTATTAGCGCTCGAAGCGGCCTACACGCCAGGAGCCGCCTATATAATATTTCGGCAAGTAAACGCTATTGAACAGAGGGAAATTAAATTCCGCTTCCGGTCGCATCGAGTCACACGAATCCTGCACGAGGAACTAACTAAAAGCCTCAAAGACTAACCAATGCGAGAAGAAATCGTGAGAAAAGTGAACAGAGGAAATAAAAAAAAAGTAATAATAATAATAATAATAATAATAATCGTCGCGAAGGTGAAGGAAATCGAAGGTGGAGAATACGGCGTTGGAGAACACGTCCGCTACTGCTGCTACTACTACTACTACTACTACTACTACTACCACTACTACTACTACCACTACTACCACTACTACTACTACTACTACTACTACCATTTAAAGCTGAACGAGTTAAGCAAATGGGAAATCGAGCGCCGTTGCATGGAAGACTAGTGATTTTGTTGTTCTACTTTCGATATAACAAGGAATCACTAATCATCCTACAAAGGCGCTCGCGATCGTCGCCTTCTCTTCCCAAGAATATCCTGCTTTTATGGAACTAACATCAAATCCCGCTGCGGCCTCCATCGTTCGCGTGACGTTCTTTCGCGTTGCGTAACTTGTAATTTTCTTTCGAGCTTCTCACACAGTTTATTTTATCCGTGTAGATGTTACGAATATGTGTTTAAATTTAAATAAAAAAAAAAAGTCGATTCTAACTATGGCCGAGGTTATGTGTATTTGCTTGCAATGTTAAATATGAATTGATGTGTCCGATTCGTTCTTTGTTGTAAATTGTATTTGTCTTAGGATAACGTGGACGTCTGCTAGATGGATAAGAAGGAAAAAATGTAATCGAAAATTTAGCCATCTATTCGTCGAGTCGAAGCAATCATTCCTACCCTTTATAATTTGCGAGCTTTTTCCTCTCTAATTTGCATAACAATATCAACTGTATCGTTAGTAGAGTTATATAATGTAATTACATTGAAATAAATACGTTTTGAAAATGCTGTCCATGCAATTTTTCGTAAAGATAGTTTCAAGCATGATGATCTCTTTAGGATATCGCGACCTATTAGGAATCTAAAACGATTGATCATCGATTAATCATAATTAATTCGACGAAATTTATATTTTGAAATTTAATTAACCATTCCTCTCTAATAAAATATTTCTGATGATCTGTTACAGCGTGCACGAGAATGCAGACCATTATTAGGACGTGGTGTAAAGAGGAAGCATTCGGGGGGAGCCAAAGATGCGTTTATAATTTTTTTAGGGATACTTCTTCGCGCGGAAAGTGGAGACCGATTAAAAGCGACGAGAACTTTTTCATCGAGAGAGAGAAGAAAAAAAAAAAGAACAATATAATATCACACACTTGGCGTTTCTCCTTATGCGTTGCAAGACCAACAAAAAAAAAAAGGAAAAGAGGAAAAAAATTTCCTATATAAATATTAATCGGTCGAAGCAAAAAGCAAGGAGAGACAATCTATTCTACAGACTTTTTCCATTCGATTCTATGGATTTATGAGCAAAAAAAAAAAAAAAAAAAAAAAAAATAAGCTCACCTGCCTGCTTTCACGAGTCGAGAAACATGGAATTGGCATTCGAGGAACAACCTCCTCGTACAAGAAAGGCCAAAGAACAGCACTATTTCTACGCCTGAGATCGTTCTCGATCTTACGCATTTTTTTCTCTTTTTTTAGTTGTTTTTTTTTTCCCCCAATCATTTTATATCACGTGCTTTTCTCCACAGCTCTGGACGAGCTTTGATATGATCATTTTTTTCTTCTTTTATTTCCCATTCGTTTTATTCCTTTATTGTTTTAACTAATCCCCCCCACTCCCCCACCCCCCACCCACCCCCCCAAAGAGTCCCTATCGAAACGCACATTGTTCTCTGTTCCCTCTTTTCTTCGCTGTTTTGCTGCGGAAACATTGCGAAATTTGTTCTTTTATTCGTGGCAAATCGTAAAAAAAAGAAAAAAAAGAAAAAAAAGGAAAAAAAATAGAAAAAAAAAGAAAAGAAATTCATGAATTTTACATGTTCAAGTTTCTGACAGCTGAAGGTGAAAGATCGAAAAGTTTAAATATCAATGGAAAAATGTAGCGATAATATCGAAGGAAGGGAGAGATTATCGAGTGAATTGAAAACAGAAACGACGAGAGAACTATAAATCTATATATAAAAAAAAAAAAAATAATCGACTCATTATAATATGCGGTACTTTTTGTATATAACATATTACTTTTCCAAATACGGAAAAAAAGAAAAAAAAAGAAAAAAATAAGAGAAAAGAAATCGTTAACGATATCATTTCCCTTTCCTCAATCGCTGCCCGCCACCCGTCTATTGCTGCATTACGATTATCTTTAATTATGATTAACTATCGTACGATTAAGAAGAGTAATTTTGCATTGATCGTATACTACTTATCAATTTTACTGATCGAGCGCGTAAAAAGTGTTCGTAATCTCTTTTTCTGCGACGTAACTGTTAAGCGTGTAACAATTCTAATAATAGAGAGTGATAAACTGCTAAGCTATTATACAAGGCAACTCTATTTGGAAATATCGCTATATAGTACGAGATGTTGAATCAAAAAAAGAAAAACTTGCAACGAAGTCTGAGGATGCGTTTTTTTTTAGAAAATAGGTAACGCGTTTAACCGGAAAAGGACGTAATTTGGTTCTTAAATAATAAGAATGGCCAACGTATTAGAAATTATATTGCGTATACATCACTTCTAAGGACATATATATATATATATCACACGTTATGATCATCTGCGACAGAAGAAGACAAATGAAGAAGAAAAAGCAGCTTAATGGGAAGAAAGTTTTATTACTTATATGTATGGATCGAGTGTTTAAATTAAACATTTAACAAAAAAAAACATCGAACATCAAGTTCGAACTTTCAAAAGTGAACACCTATATGATGATGGTAATGGTCTCTTCGCACGGATCGTTCGAAGCAGAGTCTTGCAAGAAAATAAAGTAAACGAGAAGAAATTCGTTCGTAAATTAATACTAGCCCAAAGTCAATCCTGCATTTTGTATTTTCTCGAGCTCTGCAAATATTCATCTTGTTTCCTCTGAAACTTTTTACACGTTGGGTTCATCGGTGATAGGATAGTAATAAGAGTGTTCTCTTTTTGGAGGTTGCAAACTTGAACAAGCGCGCGGGCGCCAATTTTAAATAGAGATTTATCGCAGATGAGGAAGAAGTGACAAAGAAATAATAGAGAAGAATCGAAAAGCCGCCCTCAAGTTAGAACGAACTCGTCCTCTTTCCCTTCCTCGAATAGAAACTCTCACCACCCTTTTTACCCTCTCTCTCCTCTATATACCCTGATATAATATAACCTCGTAACGAAACGGAAATAGAAGAAAAGAAGTGCGAAATCATAACCTTAAAAGAGAGAAAAAAAAAAAAAAAAAGGATTTTGATGACGCTACGAAGGGCATTTTTTTAACGCATCTCTATTAAACGACCGGCGCCGGTCGACACGGAGCCGCCCTTTTTTTTCTCTTAGGTTTAATAAGGAAAACCAAGCCCCCTCCTCTTTTTCGATGATCCATCCCCCCTACCCCCTACCCCCCACACAACGTCGTGTTAAACGAAGATCAAAAAAAAGAAAAAAAAGAAAAAAAAGAAAAAAAAAAGAAAAAAAAAGGAAGAAAAAAGGAAAAAAAAATAAAGAAGAAAGAAATAAAAAGGGAATCTTTTACGTCCGCGTGATCTCGAACAGAGAATCGCGCGTGCATTTTCGTTCGACTCACGATCGATTGTACCGTCTTTTTCGTGGTGTCGGGGATGAGAAATGTTCTTGGCAAGCTTCTTCTCCTCCAATTACAACGATGAGTTTGTTCTCGTTGATTTCAATTTACATTCGATCCGTTTTTCTCTGCGATATCGATCATTTTTCCACTTGACGAGGAATTTTGATGATGGAAGATTGAATTACAAATATTCTTAAATTCTAAAGAAATAATGGAAATATAGTTTTTCTTTTTTTTTTTTTTTTATTTCGAATTGGCCTCAACGTAGATAATAAATTATTCGCTTTTGCCGAGTTTATATAATCGTGATGGAAGCGGCACGGAACATTTTCTCATTATACTCCGAGATCGACTTATGTAATAAGAATAACACACGAGAAACAGGCAACAAAACAGAGAAACATACATAAATACATATACATACATACATATACACACACGAAATGCGTGAGAGGGAGAGAAATTGGTGTGTTTAGCGTGTGTCTCTGTGTGTGTGCGAACGCGTGCCGAGGGAAGACACAGTGGTGGAAGAAAGTTCGTGAAAATTGTGAATCGACCGAGGATTGAGAGAGAGAAAAAAATCCAGACAGAAAGAGAGAGAAAGAGAGAGGGAGAAAGTGGTGTGCGTGTACAATTAAGATGAAAAATGTATGCAATGAGAGAATGGGTAAGAGAGAAAGAGAGAGAGAGAATCGTAATCTCGCTCGTATCACGATGTGTGTATTATATAAGATATACAGTTTACAATTATTTGTAATGGATACTTTTTATTTGTCAAATAAAAGTTAGTACAAATGAAGGTAAAAGTAGGAATGACATTTTTTTTTTTTTCTTTTTTCCTGGCTGGAAAGTATGGGAATTTCGTCGATCTCAAGAACAATGGATTCAAAATCGAGAAAATTCTATAGGTAAATAAGATATAATTCTATCATTGTTACAATTCTTCCGGTTAATTGTTTTATTTTTATCGAATCTCTCTTCTACGAGGAATAATCTGAATGTCCGCGGTGGAACAAAAAAATATTTTTCCATCGGTATCACAGACGATAGTGCGTTTTAATCGAGAGAACGTATCGGAGAAAAAAGAAAGAGAGAAAAAAAAACGAGATATAGGATCGATGAAAAATGGATCGTCCGCACGATCATTACGATGGAATCGGCACGCTATTCTTTATTCCATGCAATTTTACTTCTAATTCGTTACAACGAATCGCTTCTCTAAAAGGTACGTTTCCACTTATGAATAATCTTTGGCTCGAAATGAAACACTTGGATCAACAATCTTTGCATCGTCTGAAAAATTTCCAGAAGAAAGTAAACGACAATACAAAATGTTTTATCACATTTACATATATATATATATATACTTCTTCTCGGGATTCTTTACTGTTCATCCTTTACCATTGATTGAGCATGAAAAGACACGAGGCAAAAATTGTGCGGCAGGTATTTTTAGATCAATGTCGTTCAAACATTCTCTCGAATTACTCGATTTCTCTCTATTCGAGATTACACATTATCCATAATCCCACTTGTGTCCATATTCGAAGGAATTTGAAACTTTTAACTTCATTTCACCTCTTCTCCCATAAATAAAGGGGGAAGAATAATTTCTAGTTGGAAAACTTTTGTTCAACACGTTTCCCCGATTTCTCGAATATAATGAAATTTCACAAAAATGGGGGAACTGAAAGAAATCCCCTTCTCGATACGAGGAATCATCGTGGAGCCGCGTGAGCTCCACCCGTGATCGATCTCGCATCCTCGAGTGAGAAGAAGAGACTTTTGTCCTCCTCAACAATTCTGATCGTGCTCGTGTTGATGAAAAGTGTCAGGGTAAAGGGAGGTTGGCGTGCGATGCATCATCGTCACGTAGGAGGTTGCCGAGGCCGGCGTGGCCGTCGGATTCGGTGTTGGCGTCAACAACGGCGTACCCTGAAGACTAATGACCAATGGCAGCGCGGTCGGGGTGCACAGGCTCATCGCGTTTCGTCCACTTTCCGTCACCGAACGATGCCTCGGCCTTGCTGACCTAGAAAACGTTTCTTCCTTCAGATACATGCATTAAAGAAGAGTAATAAGCCCGTGGAACGATCGGTTTATCGGGCTTTCATGGCCTACAATACGGGGCGAGGAACGTGCTATGGGATTTAATACGTCTCCTACCTATTCTTCTCCAATCTTCTTCTTCTTCTTCGTGGATATTTCTGTCCAGATTTGTTTTTCTTTCTTATAAGGGAGCAAGTTTTTCGACAGATACAGGTGAAGGAATGAGCGGTAAAGGTTTTTCTTCCGTTTTTTTTTTTATTTCTTTTCTAGATGACGAGGTACGTGGAAAGTTGGAGATGAAATTAAAGGAAATCGTTAGTTGTTAATACTTGGGAATTATCGATGGATTATTTCTTATCTAGATATCGTGTCGATTTTTGAACGATAGACAGATAACGCGGTAAATATCGGATACTTTTCAAATACGTGCATGTCATCTTTCGAGTACCAATCACTTGTCCTTCTTTCCATTTAACGTCCGCGTGACCGTGGACGTTATCTTGGCCAGAGTATTGCCAATGACTGCGGCAAAAATCTACCTCGATAAGGCTAAAAGAAAGAGCGCAACTAAAATATAAGGGAAAAAAAAAAAGTTCTCGAGTCCGAATTGCAATCGTTCCTAGGAGTACGATTCAATAGTTCGAAACATTTGACGTTGAAAGTTTCGTGAGAAGCGTTGGCATGCACAGCGACGATCGAAAGTTGGTTGGTGATCTAACTGACCTGGAACACTTGCACTTCAACAATCTGATGAACGCAGCCCTGAACGTTCTATTGAAGATCGTGTAGATGACCGGATTGATCGTGGAGGACACGTAGCCGAGCCAGAGGCATACGTTGACCACGTGCACGGGCACCGAGCACTCGGGACACGCGGCGAAAAATATGTTCAATAGAAAAAATGGCGCCCAGCAGAGGACGAACATGAAGAAAACCAAGCCCAACACCTTGCTGGCTTTCTGCTCCGTTGCCACGGCGTTCGCGGCCAACGATCTCCTCTTCGTTCTGCCGGGGAGAAACCTGAGAACACGAGGACACGGCTTGTGTTTGCCCTCTGGATTCGAAAGTCACGCGGAGCGGTCGAGAATCGACCGCCATTTGCATGTGCAAATGGGTTTCCATGCTCGCGGGTTAATCCCATAGAGTGAACGCGATTCGTTCCACACGTTGACGCGCAATCCCGTGTGCCGGGGGATTTCGGGATACGAACAATCTCTCAATTTCGCGATTAAACTTTGCCAACCTGGTGAATCATCGACAAACACCGAGGATAAACCGAGGATTGCGAATATTCGTCGAATACAGTTAATTTTGTTATAAACGAACGATCCAGAGAGCGGATAAACGGCGAGATACTTTCAACCGTGCCAATGAATAAACTAAATAACTAATCGAACGAAACGTGAAACGAACGCTCCTATATTGACACCGCGTCTTTTTAATCGTAAAACGCGAGCAAGGAGAGAAAAAAAGGGGAGGGGGGATTCAAACCTGAGATTCAGGGTGTTGGGAGTGACGTTTAATTGGAGCTTCAAAGCCTTCAGAGTGAAATTCCTTGTTTCACGGGCGATATTCTCAGGCGTTTGCGTCGCCTGATCCACTTTCGTCGCCAGTTTCGCCCCGGTTCCGCTTCCGGTCGGGTTGCTCGCCCCGTTCACGGCGAAATTCAACTGCGGTTGAGACTTGGCCGACCTTGCCCCCTTGCACCTGTTATGCTTGCGACGGTACAAAGCCTCCGCGTTTAATTGGTTAAACTGGAAAATTAACGATTGTTCCGTTTACGGCAACAAAGTTATCACGACGAATACATACGGCCCTCCACGTTACATACATGTTTTTTCGTTGTTTCGAAATTTTATTGGAAATTTCTTTCTTTCTTTCTTTTCTTTTTTTTTTTAAAGGAAAATTAATATCTTTGCGCGAAATTGCTGTATTCAGCGGACTAGAATAATATCAGAACGAATTAATTAATCGTTATTTATATAATTTTCACCGTCACTTCTTCGTCACTTCTCTTTTTTCCATATTTTGCTTCGCTAATCGCATCCCTTAATTCCTTTCCAATTAAGAGGAGAAGTTGAGCGAAATGGGACGAACGAGGAGCAAAGATTTTTAATTCCATTAATGCGACAATGGAGTCGCGTTAAAATATGTTCACCGGGGATCAACAGCGAAATTTACGTATTACGCATTAAGTTAATTGGATTAAAGGTTTCAGGATAAATTACCATTTCTAATTGCCACGATTTCGTTTGCCACATTATCGAGATAGAAAACTTTATACGATTCTTCCTCATTCGTTATTTCTTTGTTACATTGATTCGTTTACCTGTCGCCTCCGACACCGCCGGAAGTCCTCCACGTGTACCGCGACGACGAAGGGGTGGCCGTTTCCACGGTCGAGGTGGAAGAGGCCTTGGTCGAGAAGTATCTGCCCCCTAGCCTTCGAAATTGATCTCGTTCGGGGTGTTCCGCGATGAAACGAGCTTTTTGCCTGAGCAGTTGCACCGTCAGAACGTAGGTGGCCACCATGACGATCATGGGGATGTAGAAGGCGACCAGAGAGCCGAACACGAAAAACGCTCTGTTGTTGATCACGCACGCTCCCGGCCGTGGCATAATGTTTAGAGGATTTATTATGCCTGGGAAAAAAATATATCGTTAATAATAATAAAATTAATTCAATTGAGGCAAAGATATTTACGGAAACAATCAAATAGAAAATATCTAAATTCTCTATCTATCTATGGATCAAGTCCAAAACCGAAGTCATTGAAAGCATATATATATATATATATATATCTCAAAGTGGCAACAACATTCCACTGTCCGCGTAATTTGCTTCGTTTTATTTGGTCAAAGGTAAAGAGAGGCCACTGTTTAATTAAACACAACGACTAGATTTTCTCTAGATCTAAGACTTCGAGGACGGTAATTTAATCGGTGGATCAGAGTGGATCCAAGAACGTGCAAGTGTGAAAAATTAGGACGGGAACTCGAGGATTATGGGATTGTTCGGGTAAAAAAAAAAAGAAAGAAAGAAAAGGAGGAGAGGCAAGATTGGAAAGGTGCAATGCAATTTTTCTCCCCCCTCCTCGAATCTCGCGACTCTGAAAAAACGAGGCGCCCGTTGGGCAAAACCCGTAATCGTTTATCGACCACGGTTTCACTGTATGCGAAACAGTTTCGAATATCGAGCAGCCCTCGCCTCGGATAGAATGGCAAGAAGAAGAGTTGGCGTACAAGTTTCCCATTTAACCTGCCGCTCGAAGGAAACGCTATTCCTTTCCGAATACCCGAACTTTTGCATCGCATCTCGCGTATCGATCCCTTTTCCAATGAACTTCGATCATTGTTCTCCCAAACGAACGAACGAACGAACGGACGATTGACTCGTTTCCTCTCGAATCGTAAGAAAAACGTGTAAAATCTGATTTTACCCAACACCGTGATCGAGCTGGAGACCAGCATGGCGAGCAACCACACAGCCGCTATCTTGAAGCCGACCATCCGTTTGGTGGACGTGTGCCTCGTCCGCAAAGGATTCCGGATGCCGAGATACCGGCCCAACGAGATGAAGCACATGTGCATTATGCTCGCGGAACAAGCCAGCACGTCGCACGTCACGTACACGTTACACCACACCACTCCGAATGGCCAGTATCCTGCAACATTCAACACGGTCCTTTCATCGCAAGCGATTTTTCATTAGACTCAAAAATATGATATAAGACGATCTTATAATTCCTTATATCAGAAACGAAAACGATTGAAATTTGGATTTTGGACGTTCGTCAAGTTTGCACATTCAGTCAATTTTCTCGAACGATTCCGATTCCATTCACCTCCTTATTTCAATCGTAAAATCTATTATTAGCCGGATACTAGAAATAACCGAGGAACAGGTTGAATCGTATTCCAAATTACAACTCGGCCAACTCGTATTACTTTAATCTCTCCTCCTCTTGTGAATGACGTATCGTATATTGGCGAAAACGAGCTTCTCGAGAGGGAAGAAAGAAGAAAAAAGCGCGCATTTAACATTTCCACATTCTATATAATTTAATTTAATCCACGCGAAAACAGCCAAGAGTTTAGCAGACACGATATCATAAGGGATTCAATTTCATTTCGGAATATTTCGTAATTCGTACACGTGACGCGCATGCTGGTTTTGCACGGCGAAAGAGTGTTTATATCTTCTTTTTCATATACCTTGATCAACAATTCCTTCTGTCCAGATACCGGACACGAGGCCAACAACGAGGTTTTCAATTAATCGTTAATCTTAATTAAACATGTATGCACTTCTTTTTTTTTTTCTTCCACGCAAAGTCTTTTGCAATTTCAGAGATGCATTCCGATCCGTCCAAACATCGAAAGCATACAAAATGCCACGAATGTAAACCGGCTGTTAACATCGAGGTCCTTTGATGTTGCCCGTTTTCACGCGCATCTTACGAGTTAAAATTAACAGGCTCGCGCGTTTAACCGTAAAATCGGGTAAATTCCAGTGGTGGTTAACAATTAGTTAAACTGAGAATTGAACGTGTGCCTTTGTCGAGGGCGAAATTTCGTTTCAACAAGTGATTTTTTTCAAGTGAAAAAAGTCGGATAGAAAAAAATTGGATTCAAGATCGAAAAATCTTTCCCGATACTTTGTTTTAATTTTTCGAGCGGAGAGTAATTTTTTTTCATCTTTGGATTCGAGTTAAAAAAGAAAAAATGTTGAAAGGGGAGAAGAAGAGAAGATGGAGAAACCGAAAGAGAAGTGGCAATAACGCGAAAGAAGGTGCTGTGGTGGAGGACGTAGAATATCGGCTTTCCGGCCGGAGATCACGAATTCGTATTCCATCGAGGTCCTTTCATTTTTCCTCGTCTCGCTACACGTCCGCTGCACTTCTTCCCCGCATTATCACCGTTGCCTATTTTCCATTGGGCGATAAAATCGACGCGATACACTTACTTACGTATAATTTTCCATCTAATGAAATTCCTCAAGAGAGAGAGAGGGAATAGACCCGTCTCCTCCCGCGTCTCCCCGAATCAACAATGGAATCATAGATATTTGTTGACGACGAGGTGACGCGGGATTAATTGCGCTTTGCCAGATGAACGAGCGGCGACAAATAAACGCGAGAAGCTTTTAACAGTTTAGGAGGAAGAGACGGGTATAAAGAAGGAGGAACGAGAATAAAATTTCAAACGGTTCTCAAACCATTATACGAATCTTCAATTTTATCCGGAATAAAAATCTCGTCACTTTGAACTTTCAACCGGTACGCATTTATAAACCGGTATCATTTACATTTCATCTCTCAGTATTTACGAGGCCCTGGGAAACTTACTTATGGAATGGAAAAATTTTTCCCAAGTATCGAATGGATAACCCTCCTCCCGGTTTGATATTAATGTTTACTCAGCGGAGCGGAAATCGAACTTTTACCGATATATCCTTGAAAAATACTTAAAAAACTTTCTCCAGCTATATATATATATATGTGAAAATACCACGTACAAAACTTAATATCGGTTTTTTTAATCTTCTTCTATATACATAAACTTCGTATTCTTCCGTCGTTACGTTCGGATTTCTATGATTTCCGTTATAAAGGCAAGTTCCCACTTCGTGGAGGTGAAGAAAAAAAACTCGATCGAGCAAAAATCCTTTGCGCAAATCGACAACTTTAACAACGAATTCCTCGTGTCGAAAAATATTCTCGCTTTCGTCAAAGTTTATCGAAGCTACGAGTTTCGATCCGAATTGGAAGATTGGAAGGAAAAAAGAAGAAAAAAATAGGATTTTTAAGGATTTGGCAGGGAGAAAAATTCTCGATATGTTCTCGATACGTATATTCGGAGCGTGTATCGTTGCGGAGAAACAATTTCGTGGACGAGCGCGATATGCATATTCGGGGTGAGAGGGGGGAGATGCCCGCGATGGAAATGCAATTTTCGTCGCCTCGCTCGTTCGGTATGACGTTCACGTAGAGATTCCACGTCCTTTGTTATTCCTTTTCCATCTCTCGATAATAATCGCGATTCCGAAACGATGACACGTTCCGCGTGATAAACGTATCGACCGACTCGAAGACGATTTTCCCCATATTTATTTCACGACGACTCGACTTTTCATTCTTCGCCGATACATCCGATGTTTTTAACCGGAAGATGAAAAGAGTCGTGTAATAAGTTTTGAAAATTTCGCGATACAATAGCTTAATCTATTTGTAATTAGAAGAATTAATTAATTTGTCGAAAAAATGTATAATTAAACGATTTCGAGTTAATTAAATCTTTGAAGCGCGTATACGATAACGATTCTCGCGTTATCGATAAACTTTAAAATAAATAAAGAAAATCGAGGTTCGTAAGTAGATGACAGAGGGCTCTTATCTGTCACCCGGATAATGGCGAGATTTCATTCAACGTGTGTGGAACACACAGATTAAAATTCCATCGTCCATTGCGAGATACGTGCAATTTCTCCAAGATCGAAATTATGGATCGAGATAAAAATGAAATTTGGCGAAAATAAAAGGATGGTTCCTTGTCGAAGTGTCGATTGATATATTGACGGTGTGTTAAGAAAAAAAAGAGGAAATAACTAAGTTAACGAGGCTAGGTTGATCGATTTTAACTCATACCTTTTATCGGACCGCTGTTAATCATCTTAACTGTTATCAAGCCCAGCTTTGAAAGAACAATTGTATTACGACTCAAATTAATTCGGCATTGTTGATTCGTGATCAATGACGATTAACGACGTTCCAAAACGCGATTCCAAACTACGATAAAAGATGAATCGAACCCCTAGTGAAATATCGTCTTGAGAGGCGCGAGGGTATAGAGGATATATATATGAATGGATAATGAAACGTCTTGGAGATGTCTGGCAATGGAATCCCTTTTCTCCTTTCGGCTCATACGCGTTATTATATCGAAAAATCTATGCATATCGAATGGTTTATCGTCGAATGGCCGTCTATGCTATATTTATGATCACATATATGCGAATTTATCCGGCAGAATATATTTTATATCTGCACTTGGCCAAGCAGTTGGATAAGCAGCATTTACTAAAATTGTACACGCTGATAAATGTCGGACGGCGCGCCGTTATTTGTGACGCTGCGAGTGGATTTTATACGATTCGAGTAAGGGATATTCTCTTTCGTATATTTGTATTGTTTGTAAAGATATAAAGATATAAATTCTTTCTTTCACGTAGTATAAAATTTACCAGAGCGCAAAATTACAAGAATTATGGAAATATATATAAATTTTGGTGAGATTGGCGAAAGAGATCTATAAACGTATTAATCACCACTTTGACGCCGTGCGATCATCTTTCTGTAATTTCAAACAGAGTTAATCTTCGTATTTCCTCTTTCCACGTATTCGTAAATTAACTCGAAGAGTCAAAGTGCCTTTCGCGATGAGAATTTAATCAAAGGGCTATACACGTATATATATTTCATCTTCTTTTTTTTACCAATTCTCACAGCTCGAAAATTTCGTCGATGATTTCGTTTATTCGTCGAGCGAATAATCCTTTACGCGTATCGAGAATTGAACGAGATTGAGGACTTTTCAGGTGTTACGATTGTAAAAAAATTTGTTTTTCAAGTTTTTCGTTACAGAGGAGAGCCTATTGCTGTAAGAAAATAAGGCAAGGGCCTATCGGACCGAGATAAAGAATAATATTTTGGAGGAAGAGATTGGTTTTAAGAAGGGGATGATTTTGACGGGGGAAATGCCATAACTCGTTGATGATCTTTTTACGATTACGACCGTTGGAAGGTAGAAAAATGAACGACGAATATTCGAAGAATAACTCGGATAAGTAGAATTGGCGGGAAATATAAAAAATATAAATATCGCTTCTGTATACAGATTCTCTTTTCTATTCAAGCGTATTTCGTATTTTTATAAACTTGAAGTTTTATTTATTTATTTATTTATTTTTTTTTTAGAAAAATCAAAGCTTTTTAACATAAAGTTTGAAAGATAAGCCTAATCGTGATCGTAATCCAGGGGAAAAAATTTTCGATGCAATAATTTCTTCGCCTGAAAATTATCTTATCGCCGATTTCGACATTTTTTGTCCGAGTCAGCGAGTTATCGATACCGAATACTCCTTCAATCCCCTTCAACCCGTTCGAGATCCTCGAAGAACACCCTCGAGTACGAGAAGTGAACTATATCAAAGGATTTTTTTTCATCGATCAAAAAGAAATCCCTAGCGTAATACATCGAATATTGATTATTTACAGATAGTCAAAGTTTTTTTCGAGGTTCAAAGGAGAACGCTATTTTACATTTAAAGCAATTCATTGTAAAAAGGAATAGTAATAAAAGTCATTTCGTTATTGTTTACTCAATAACAAGTAGGGCACGAAATAGAGGAAATCCATCTATTACGTGACCTTTATATTTATTATTCGAAAAGAATAATAATTCTTCGAATGACCCACTTAATAATACTAATCCAACATAACTCGTTTGTACAATTCGTTGATTCAATGATAAAATATTTTCAAAGATTAATCGAATAAGAAGCAACCAGGACCAACATCTCTCCATTTCCTTTCTCCATTTTTTCGAAATCATTTTTTAAAGGGAATAATTCCGTGAAAAAACCGCGTGATTTCCTTGATACGAG